AGAGCTGTGTGGCACCCGTAGACAGATTGGTTGATGCAGTGATTGGTAATGTCTGCCTTCTCAGGTAACCCCCATCTACCTGAACCTCTGGCCTTGGAACTCTTGCTGTTTAGACCCCATCTCCTTCCATCCTCATGGGACACTAGCATTCTGAGTTCAGCATCCAAGCCTTACCTGACCACTACCCACCTGTCCAAGCTCACTGTCCTCAGCCCACATCTGTCATATCAGCCAAAATAGATGTCTACAATTCTCACATTCACACCTCACTTCCCACTTTCTGCCCCTTCCTATGCCTCATATAATATTCTTTCTCTCTACCTACTCAAACCCTTATACCCCAAGGACAGGTTCAAATAGCTCATCACTCCCCTTCCCCGCCCAGCCCAGTCTGAGCTCTGCCTGCTGGGATCCGTTTGTTAGCTCTTTAACTGGAGATTGTCACCATGCTCCTGTGGTCACGGTTCACCCTGTTCCTTCCAGCCCAGAGGCCAGGTGATGCAGGATTGGGCACACTCTCTGTAGGTACCAGGGAGATGATAGGACAAGATAGGGAGATAGAGACCCTTCCTTAAGTGTAAGTACAGAGCCATGTGCAGGTGTGGGTAGATGTGGGAAGAAGAGCGATTGCAAACTTGTCATGTGGGGAAGCAAAGGGCAGTTCTGGCATCTCTAGGGCATCCTACCCTTTGTCTATGCTGTCCAATGGGGTAGCTGCCAGTCCTTTGCAGCTACTGAGCACATGAAATGTGGCTAGTGTGACTAAGGAATGCGATTCTTACTTTGGCTAGCTATAATTAATTTTAATAGCTACAAATGGGCTACTGGCAACAGAGGTCTAGACAAAGCAGTGAACATGTCTCTCAACACACATACAAATCTACACACAAGTCTGTATGTACACAGTGTTCATGTGTGCATGTTCATGATCACATATACCTTGTGTCAGGGCTGTGAAGGTGGCAGGCCTTGTGCGGCAGCACCCCTCTGTGACTGTGTCACGTGGTATGGACCAGTGTGTGGTTTCAGTGTATGTACACAGGACTGGAGGGAGGGGGACAAAGGGACCATTGTATCACACTCCCAACCCAAGCCCTCTTTTCCACTGACATCACAGTTGCCCTAAATATAGCTGCCAGACCCTGTCCCTGAGACCCTCATTGTCCCTTGTGCAGCTCTGCTCTGCCGTACTTGCCTTTGTCTTCTTTATGGAACAGACTAAGTTCCTAGGGCTGATTTTTTAGTCGAATCCAAATGGAATTATTCTGGAGAGGGAGAAGGCTTCGCTTGGATTTTTCCCTTTTGCTGCTGTTTTGGATCCTTGTCCCTTCGGGGAGGGACCTAAGCCTGGCCATCTCCTGGAGGAATTCACTGTAATCCAAAGATGGTGAGTTTTTCCTCATTTTTTTCAGCTTCTGAACCTTCAGTTTCTAGGTGTCTATAGACGAAGCTGCATGAGGCTGGAGAATGCTAAGAGGGCTTCTAGCTGGAGTTAGGGGGACAGTGTGAGGAGGGATGAGGGAACTGTGAATGGAACAGGTATGAGCATCACACTGCAAGTAGAAGAATGGGGGGCACTCACAAAGAATGGGGCCACTCACAAAGCCACATGTAGACATAACTAATGGCATGAGGAAGTAAACAGGAGCCTCTACGGGGCCGTGTTGTGTCTAGGTAGGGGTCTGAGTGGATGAGAATGTGTCTTTCTGTGCTCACACATCTGTGTCCATAGGACTCTCCATGCTTGTGGGGATGTGGGAGGTGGGAGAGGGTCTGCATGGTGAGAGCAACCTCCTTACCCATGGAGCAGTGGAGGTGTTACATAAGCAAAGAAAAGGTATGGATCACAGCTTTGGGACACATATGTTCTATAGGCCTGTCTGTGAAGGAGGATGGACTAGGGTAATCAGAGAGGCATTTGGAAAGATTAGGAAGGGCTGGGTGCGGAAAGAGACCACTCTCCCCAACTCCAAAGGCCCTGTGCTGGTGTGAGTCCAGTGCTCATGAGAGGCTGTGTCTGTGTTTCCCTCCTGGGTATATGTTCCAGGCTGAGCTAGGGCACATGGATGAAGGAGGTGAGACCCTGGAAGAAGGCTACACTGTCTGGGAGGATGATGGATTCTTTTTATTTTTTATTTTTTCTAGTCTTTTTGAGACAGGGTCTTCCTGTAGCCCCAGCTATCCTGGAACTCACTATGTAGACCAGGCTGGCCTTGAACTCACAGAGATCCACCTGCCTCTGCCTCCCAAGTGCTGGAACTACAGGCATGTGCCACCACGCCCGGCTCGGAAGATGGATTCTTGTCACATGGATATTTCAACTCTTTGCAGAGGATGTGCAAGCCCAGGAAGGGAGGGAGGTGAACTGGTACCAAAAGGAGCTGGACCAAATATGATTCTCCCTGTTTAAGATAATGGGAAGGATTAGAAAGGCAGCAGCCGAAAAAGGAAGACAGAGAGGGGACAATGAGAGCCATGAAGGGGACCAAAGCTGTTTCAGAGCATGGAGGCAGCAAACTCAAGTTGGAAGATATTCACTGCTCTGTGGCAAACTTGCATCTAGAAGGCCTGTGGGATGCCAGCAGGAGGTGAGTAGCAATTCAGTAGAGAACAAGGAAAGGGCTGAGCTCTGGGTATGAGTGGATTTGGAAAAGTCATTCTAGCAGCCATGGTTTAAAGAAGGGAAAAAAAAAAAAAACAGATGGACTGTGGCTGTAGCTCAACTGGTATAGTGCTTGTCTAGATAGACAAAGCCCTGGGTTTGAATTCTAGTACTACATGGGAGGTGGAGGCAGAAGGATCAGAAGTTCAAGGTCATATTAGGTTCCATATCTAGTCTGACACCTAGGATACATGAGACCCTGTCTCAAAAAAGGGGTGGGGTGGGGCTGGAGAAACAGCTCTGTAGTAAGAACACCAGCTGAGTACCCAGATGGAAGCTAACACCCACCAGTAACTCCAGTTCCAGGAGATTCAATGCCTTCTTCTGACCCCTGCCAGCATTGCATAGCACAGATGCACTTAAATACATGCAGGCAGGGGCTGGAGAGATGGCTGAGCAGTTAAGAACACTGGTTGTTTTTGTAGAAGACCCAAGTTTGAATCCCAGCACCCACATGGCAGCTAACAACTGTCAGTAACTCCAGTTCCAGGGGATCCAACAGCCTCTCTGTCCTCTGCGGGCATTGCACGACATGGGTACACTTACACTACATGCAGGCAATAAACACGTAGACATAAAATAAAAATAATAAATAAAATATTGAAAAAAATACATGCAGGTAAAGCACTCATATACATAAAATAAAAATGAAGTTTTTAAAAATCAGGTAAAACTAATTTACATCTCATTTAACCTAATACAGTCCCAAATGCCATTGCAACCTTCCGCATCTCAATACCCACGTTTCTGATGTCCACATACAACAAGCAGCAGTACTACACTAAATAGTGTGAACTTTAGCATCCCTCCATTCACAGGGAGATTTTCCTGAGGTCTTCATAGAAGTGGAGCCCCTCAGTCTGAACCTGAGGGGGCAGAGAGACCCCACGCACCCCTGAGCTTGGGGAGGTTGCATGAAGTGCTCATGAAATAACATTCCTGTTTCTGGGAGGCACCAGTATGCCTGTCCTGGCAGATTCTCACACCATCCCAGAAACAGGGATGACTGTCCCTTTACGGGAAAACTAGCTGTTGAGGCAGCTATGGTGTGCCAGAGCCACGTTTAAGCTCTGCCTTGGGAGGTGTGGCCCTGGGGGCTGAGGCCTGCTCTAGGTGTATTCTAGGGTCTGGAGAAGGGAAGGTGGTGAGGGAACATCTGGGCAGTTGGCCACGTGTGCAGTCTGTGTTAACTGTGAAGGTGGGGGCCATACATCAGGCCATCTGAGCTGGGCCGTCAGTAGGACTAGAGGTAGGGTGGAGCTCAGTGTAAGGTGGAGTCAGGGGTCAAGGTAGGGGTTAAGGACCACTTACTCTTTGTCAGGGATTGTGGGAAATGGGTCATGACTACTGTATAGATTCTTGCTATTCCAGGAGGGGCTGCTGCCCAGGGAGCAGAGGGGCATCAAGTGTATCTGTGACATTCCTGGCATGCTGTCGGGCAGCTGGGCGTTCATGTGTGTCCAGGCATGGCTCAGTGTCCTCTGCAGTCACGCCACCCTCCCGGCTACTTGTCTGGGCCACTTCCTTTCAGGCAGGCAGCCAGGCAGGCTCCTGTGTGCCCCTCCGAGTCAGCTGAAAGATGCTGCCAACACTCCAAGGCAAGGCCAGGAAGCAGAGGGAAGAAGGAGCTGGCTTCTCATTTTCCCACGCCTGACCAGCCTGGAAGGGCATGCAAGGTGTAGAGGTCTGCCTGCCTGCAGGGACCAGAGATGAGAGGGGAGCCAGCAGCCCCTACCTTAAGGGGCCAGGGACCTAGGGAAGCCAGCTTGATCAAGGCTGGCTACACTGAGCCTCTATCAGAGCAGGTACTGTGCAGCTCCCACGCTTTCCATGAGATGATGGACCTCCAAGTAAGGAAGAAACAGCCAATGAGAAATCAGAGGCATTCATTCACTGAGTAAAGAACCATTTGGTTACAGACTAGGCACCTAAGGAGCCATCCCTTCAGGGTTCACTCACTGAGCACATACACTGTGCCAGCACTGTCCCCTGCTAGCCTCAGTTGATGCTTACAGACTCAATTCATTAATTAGGAAGCTAATGGGTTTGGGGTGCCAGAATGAGACAGGGGTATAGAAGATAGTGGTAGAGGCTTAGTTTTTGCCCAGAGAGGAACTGCAGCCCCCTTAAGAGTTCTGAGCAAACAGAGGCTGGAGAGATGGCTCGGTGGTTGAGAGTACTGGCTGCTCTTGTGGAGGACACATGTTTGGCTCCCAGTACCTCCATGACAGTCAACAGCCATCTGTAACTCTAGTTCCAGGGGATCCAACACCCTCTTTTGACCCCATGAGCATTGTACAACATAGGTACACTTACACAAATGCAGGCAATACATCCATGCACATAAATTTTTTTAATAATTAAAAAGAAAGAATTCTGAGCAAATTCAGACAGACAGACAGCAGTGTCCCTCAGGTAGTCCCTCCAAACAGCTTTCCCATATGCCTCTGTACACAGAGGCTGTGCTGGGTTGGGGGCGAGGGCTTCTGGGGATGGGTAGACAAAATCCTGAATCCATTTTCAGGAAGACTTGTAACCCACGAGCCAAGACAGCATCTCCTGTTAGAAAGTTAAAAAAGATGTGAAGGGTCTCTACAGACCATAGGACCAAAAAGACCCTGGTCTCTGCTCAGCTCTTAGGATAGGTGTTGGAGCAGAGACCAAATGATTGATAGATTGACCACCAGCCAAGGCAGTAGTGTCAATGGGGAGTTAAGGGGCTGGGAGCTCCCGGGAGAGGAGAAACCTTGAAGAAGGTGGTGGGCAGGAGGCCCTTGTATACATTCTCGTGAAGCTGCTACCAGGAGACGGGCTGGGCCACATGTTCTTTGCTCATTTGCTGTCCCTCTCTATTAGGGTCCCCTCTTGGGCTTATAGTCTCAGCCTGTCTTCCCATAAAAATGGTAAAATATGAGACTCAGGCAGAGCAGATGTCAGAGAGCATGGCATGGCTGGCCCAGTCTCTTGTAGCCACCTGGGAAAACAAACCTCAGGCCTATACACAGCCAGCTGAGCTCCCCAGGCCTTGTGACAACACTCAGCTCAGGGAACATTCTAGGCTGGCAGATCCCTTAGACCTCTTCTTTGTCACTGGAGGAACACCAGGAGGGGAACATAGGATGGTCAGTCAGTCCCACCTCCAACCACTCTGTATGGGTTAGCTTCTCCCCAAACAGCCTGCAGACTGAAGTCCCTCCAGGGGGGTTGTGACAGTTCAAGTGTCCAGTTCAAGCTCTGCTACCCACTTGCTCTATGATGTTGGGCAAGTCCTTACACCCACAGACCTTAGTTTCCTTGTCTAGAAAGTGAGGCTACTAATCCAATCATCTCTCATGGTCAGGTCCTGTGAATTTGAGAAGACTGAGATGCCAAGAATCCAAAGGGCAGGCTGGCAGTCCCTGCAGCCTCCAAGGACTCTCAGAGACAGAAGGGGAAGCAGAGTCAGTGATAATTGTTGGGAAGAAGGCACTAGAAGCAATACATGAGCAGAGCAGCAGGAATTTATTCTTGAGCACTGATTCCAAGCACCCTCACTCCTCCCCACCCCATTCTTCTGCCTGTTCATTTAGAGCCTGAGGTCCAGGAAGGCCAGGAACTGGAATCCATGGAGGATGTGACCACCAGCCAGCAGCTCTCAGAGTGGTGCAGCTAGGGCTGGAACTAAAAGGGACAGGAGGACTAAGGGTGCCAAACTCCAGTCATGCCCACCCTGACCCTCTGGCCCCAAGTGTTTGGCATTTGGGGTACCGTACTGCTAAGTACAACTGCACATGGGGGCAGGCAGGTCTGTGTGAACTACCCCACTACCTGCCCTAGTCTTAAGATAGAGACCCCCTTATTTCTTGATAGGAGGCTTGCACTGCTCAGCTAGACCCACCTGGCAGGGCTATTAGTGCTGGTCCAGGATGAGGGGCACCTGAGCGCTGTCCACACGGGGAGGCAGCCGCTCACCCGTGCGCACATTGAACATGGGCAGAGTAGAGAGAGGCCTGGGCACTTCACGGTTGGCTGCCATCTGCCGAAGTTCCTCCGTGTTCCCATGAATGGTGCAATGGTGAACCATCTGGATGCTGAAAGCACAGGCAGAGGGTCATCAGCTCGAGAACTGGCCTCCAGGGTCTAGCCTCGCATGCAATCTTCCCAGCAGGTCTCATTTAGGAGGAGACTCAAACACATGATATGAATGCAGGAAACAAACAGGAAATTCTGGGGTGCCTGCTTGTGTCCAGTGACTGAAACAAGACTCTAGGGGTAGATAGCCTGGATCAAAACTGTGTATTCCTGGAGTGCTGCTCAATGCCTTGTGCCTCAGTTTCCTCACTGTAAAATGGAGATGATAATGCCTACCTTCTAGATGGTTGTGCATAGAGAAAAGGCAGCTTGGTGTTTGCAACAGTGGTCAGCACAGGTAAGAACTCAGAAGATACCAGAACAGGAATGGATATCCACAGGGGATGTATATACAGAATGTGGTATTTGCTGGCTTTATAGCCTGGTGGTGTGTTGCATTTTGTTTTGTTGTAAGACAGGGACTCATGTACCCCAGGCTGGCCTCAAACCCTGAACATATCGTGATTCTCCTGCCTCCACCTGCCAAATGGTGGGATTACAGGTATGCTTGACCATACTCAGTTTGTGTGATTCTGGAGATCAAACCCAGGACTTTGTGCATACTGGGCAAGCATTCTGAGCCCTGTAATCTGTTATCTTCTGGTGGCCCTCTCAGCTTCTTCTAGGACTCAACAACTTCCCTCAATACCAATTCCAGACACCAAGCCTCTAACCCTGTTCCTTTCTTTCCTCTTTAATTAGTTTGGCTAACCTATATCCTCTGATCTTCTAGCTTTTGACCCTTCCAGAAGCACTTTCTCGGTGCCTCACCAAGCCCTAGAATCTCATCATTTGAGTTCCAACCCCCAACTCAGTCACTTGACACTTTGTCTCTGTTTCAGACCAGAGCTCCCTGAGGCTGTACCCAGCTCCACCCTCAGCAGCTTGGAAACCTCAGCAGCACCAAGTGGCTTCAAGTCCTTCAGAAGGCCCTTCCTGAGCTCCAACTCCAGGTCCCCCTCAGGACACTCAGCTCAAATTACATATCACATCCTTAAGGCCTTGCTTTCCCTAGTACCACATAAACTGAGTGTGGAGGCACATCTGTAATTCTTAGCACTCAGGAGGCAGAGGCAGTAGAATCAGAAGTTTAAGGTATGTTCAGCTACATAGAAGGCCAACCTGGGATATAAAACCTTGCCTCAAAAAGAAAAATGTTTGTATTCTTCCATCCAGAGGCACAAAGACAGAATGGATGGAGGCTGTTAAGAGTCAAATGGTGGGTTTAAAAATGAGGAGGCATGCCTTTAACCCCAGCACTCCACCTGGGAGGCAGAGGCAGGCAGATCGCTATGAGTACAAGGCCAGCCTGGTCTACACAGTGAGTTACAGGCCAGCTAGGGCTAGAGGGAGACTCTGTCTCAAAAAGACCAAAAAAACTGAGGGCTTGGACTAGAAATATATGTAGCTCAGTGGTAGGGTACTTGTCTAGCATGTGTGAAGACCTAGATTGTGTATCTAGCACCACTAAATAAGTAAATTAATTAGTCTTGAGGATTCCAAATGCCCTGGAATCAATGCAGGTGTATATGTCGTCTCTGCATGAGCACTCCCCTGTGTAGCCCACCCAGCTACAGCCCTTCTCTGAATGACACCTGACACATCAAATACCCACACTGATGCCTCTGCCTCTCCTAAGAGGGCTCAATGGGGCCACTGTGACCCGCAGTGGATTCTGACCACCTCACAATGGCCCCCTGAGGACACCGCAGAGATAACTTTACTACCCCCTGAGCCTACAGCACAAGTCTGCTGAGGCCAACTGTGGGTGATTATCCTCAGTCCTCCCTCCAGTCACCCAGAAGGGGTGGCCCAGATCCCTATAAAGGAGCCTCTGAGGGAAGCAGGACCCAGAACGCAGCTCACCCCCTACCGAGAGTGACCCAGTGGACACTTCCAGCCACCACCCTGGAAGTCTTAGCACCCAGAGTCCTTCAGTCATCCCCAGGAGAGATGCAAAGAGACACGTTGCTGTCTCCCTCCACGCCCTTAGCCCCAGATGCTACAGTGGCTGGAGACCAAGAAGCCAACACATCAGGGGACCTAAGCAAGAGTGAGACTGAGACTGAGACTGAGACTGAGACTGAGTCCTGCCGCCGCCCCAAAACCAAGCAGAGACCCAGCATGTTGAAGGTGATTGTGAGAGCTGTGGCAGACAAGGGGGCATAAAGCCGTGTGTCCCTGGCTGCCTTGAAGAAGGCTGTAACCATCACAGGCTACGACATGGCCAACAACACCTTGCGCTTCAAGCGTGTGCTTCAGAATCTGGTGAAGAAAGGCATGCTCAAGCAGGTGACTGGCAAAGGCGCCTCGGGCTCCTTCTGCCTGGGTAAGAAGCAGCCTTCAAGTCCAAGCGCAAGGTCAAGAGAAGGCAGCGGAAGCAGAGGCCTGGGCAGCCCAAGTCTGGACCAAGTGGGAGCTGCTGGGTTCAAGAAAGCCTTCAATGGCTTCACAAGAGAGTTCGTAAGGTGGTCAAAGGCCACCACCATTAATAATGCAAATCAGGCAAGCAGGCAGGGGTGCCAGGCCTGCCACAGGCTCAGTGCAGTGGGAATAAAAACCGAACTTATTTCACACCTGCCTCTTGGAATCTTTGGGGTTCAGGGAGTGGGAAAGGAAGAAGGCTAGGAGGCTCAGAGGAGGGAGGCGTGAGATGGGTTTGGAAAGCAATGGTAGGATTGAAAGCATTCACTGGTATGGGCTACAACCACATCCTCTAACACAAGCAAAATTGAAGGCCAGGTTTCTGATTCCGTGTGTGTGTGTGTGTGTGTGTGTGTGTGTGTGTGTATGTGTGTGTGTGTGTGTATATGTGATGAGAGAGAGAGAAAGAGAGAGAGAGAGTGAGAGAGAGAACCTCTTAAGAGGAAATCTCTTAAGTTGCTTCTCAAGCCCTTTGTGCAGGATGGTGGCAGGTTCCCTTCCCTTATGCCACAATAGCCTCTTCTGTGACCAGAACATAAGAGAACAAGGTCAGGACACAGGCCCAGCCTCCAGCCAGCCCAGGGCCAGGACACAGAGGTCTTTGTTTCTCATGCAGATTACAGGATCCAACTCAACAATCTGGGAGGGGGGGGCTCCCCTCCCCAGCCCCCAGCTTTCTTCTACTCACTCAGAGGTGGCCATGTCTCTCTTCAGCCTGCAGAAAAGTGGGGGGGGGGGTTAGACCCAGTTTGGCCTTGCTCCATCATGTCCCCAGGGGTCTCATGTGTGGAAGTTTATAGGCTTTTGTCCAGAATCCCCTCCAAATTCCAAGCCAAGCAGCACTGAACCCCCAACTTCCTAGAAAAGGGATCTGACATTTCTTACAGTTGAGAACCCCATTCCCTACTAAGTGCGGTTTCCCACAGAGCACAAGCTCATTGCTCTCCCTGTGCTCTGACCCCCACACTCACCGTCCTTCCCTCCGGCAGCACATGATGTAGGCCAGCAGCAGGGTGAGCAGCAGAGCCACCAACAGGGGCACCAGGAGGGTGACCAGGGCATCTGTCAGGAAGTCTTGGCCTGTGGCCTCCGTGGGTGGGCAGAAGAATGGGTCATGCTCCAGAATCCCATCACCTGGGGTGGGCACCTCATCCAGAGGCTCTGGCACTGACTTATCCACCTGCACAGAGAGTCCAGGGCTGACCCAGGAATTGGCTTAAGGACCTTGAGGGGAATAAGGACAGAAGTCCTGTGGCTGCCCTATCTTTCACCCCCATGTAGCCATGTAGCTTTCCTCCTACCTGCCTCCCTTAGTTCATGTGACTTCAGAAAAACACTGGATGAGGAGCCAGGAGGGGCCCATTCTAGGAAGGGCAGGAATGTACAATGGTTAATGCCACTGATATATTTAGACCACATGAGGCTGAGTGCTTCAGTGGGGTGACTTGTCTCAAGGGGGCTTGGTTTTCTCAGCTGTAAATTCAGATTGATCATAGTGAACCTGTTCTTGCAGTGATTATGACAGTGAAACATGCTGAGGATTAGTGCCCAGCACACAGCCTTCAGGAGGCTGTCAACCACCAGGGATGATGGTATTGGACCTGAAGGAGGCCCCTCTGTTCCCGGGAGCAGAGCACACCATCAGTTCCCAGCCCAGGAATCAGGATCTCTAAGCTCCCTCTGGTATCCCCAAGAGCTACAATGAGCCTCTTAGGTTATGGGCAGGCAGGCTTTTTTGGTGACACCTTCACAGGTAGCAGACAGAGCTGTCACACATATGCCCTTGGAATGAGGGCTTTGGGAATCCTTGTTTGTTTTAGCTGTCGGGCTGGGCGCATTTAGGACTCTGGAGCTGGAGAGCCCAGGTGGTGATCTGTCGCCATCTTGTGGGCAAAAGTAAAACTTCAGGATGTGTGTGTGTGTGTGTGTGTGTGTGTGTGTGTGTGTGTGTGTGTCTGTCTGTCTGTCTGTGTGTCTGTGTGTCTGTGTGTGTGTTTTTATAATAGAGGGTCTAAACTGTCTGTCTGTCTGTCTGTCTGTGTGTCTGTCTGTCTGTGTGTCTGTGTGTCTGTCTTTCTAAGTTAGGGGCTACAAAGGCTGAGACCCAAACTGACACTATCAGAAAAAGAAATGAGTTGGAGAAATTAGAGACAGAGACTTGATGAGGGCCATGCCCCAACCCCAGGTCTGGAGTCAGGATTCCTCCTCACCAGAGACACATTGCACCAGTCAACACGGAAGTGGGGTGCCAAGCTGTCGTAGCAGGACAGAAGTGGAGACTGGCCCCGGGCACAGCGGGAATGGCTGTCAGGGGATGCCACCATCTTCAGGCAGGTGGAGAAGGGTGTGGCAGAGCCCACCTTGATGTATACCCTGGAGCAGAGAGAAGCCACAGAGCAAAAGTAGGTAGAGCGCTACTCTATAGGCAAGAATCTGGAGACAGAGTAGGGGGAGAGGACCAGGGGAGGCACACCAGGGCATTGTGGGAGAGGTCATAGCCCCAAGACTGAGGCTAAGGTAAGAGTACACCCCACTCTTATCTCCCAGGAATCTCTGGGATGGATATCATGTCTTATGGTGTGCCAATTCAGGGTAAGTAGGGTTTGGGCCCAAGAAGGACAAGGAGTTGGGGAGGAACGGACTTGTTGCAAACCTGAGAGGAGGGATGGGCACCAGGAGGGTATACAATGATGGTAAAGCCCCACCCACCACGAAATTGGAGACGCCCCTGTTTTATGCACACCCCTAGACAGCCAGGAAGTCCTCCCAGGTTGCCCACTTACCCTTCCTTACGGCCCTCAATGGGAAGAGGGACGCGACCTCCACGGTCCAAGGCAGAAGTAATATTGAGCAAGTGGAGCTCCCCTGGCTCCCAGAGGCCCCCCAGGGCAGAAAGGAAGCGATTGGCAGGTGTGGACGGCAGCACTTCCTCCACATCATGGCTGCGCACCAGGAACTCAGCTTGGTATGGCAGCCTGGGGCCTGGGGAAGCCAGCTGGGCACTCAGCTGCACAATATCCTATGCTCTACACCCAGGTCCTTCTAAGCCTCCCTCAAGTTTTCCCATAGCTCATGTACCACTTCTGCCCCCAGCAGCCTATATACAACATAGGTCAGGTTCCATGTTTCCTTTCCCAACCCTGTGACCTTAATGACTTTCCCAGGTCTCTGCAGTCTGTGAGCAGTACAGATAGTAATACAGCCCAAGGCTAGATCTCAGCTCAGATTTCTTTCCCTAAAACTATCAACATCACATCCTCCCCAATGCCTCCTCCTTAGGATGCCTTGGTTCCTACTACTTCCCAAGCCTCTCCCTTCCAGAGAAGGTCCTCCAAGACTGGCACAGGTGGGGAAGGAGTGGAACAGGGATGGAGGTACCTTCTGGGTCACCAATCAGCAGAATCAGCCTCTGTCTAGTGGTGTCAAAGCTGTCTCGATTGTAGGCTGTGACCTGGGGGGATGGGAAGAGGCCTGAGGGGTGGAGCTAAGGGGAAGTTGGTATAGCTAGGCCTGGCAGAGAGCACTGATGCACTGCAAATGAAATGTATGCAAATTGTATGCAAATGAACATGCATAAGCACCCATTCTCTCTGACAGGGCTGCTCCTAGGAGACCCCAGTGACACCCCCCCAGAGGCCCAAGGGTATCTGTGTTGGTACCTCAATGACCTGGCGCCCACGATCATCAGGAGTTGGGGTGCCATAGAGAAAGCCAGGGTTGTAGGGACCTCGCTGAGTGTAGCGTAGCCACCGGGGCAGGTCCGGATGTCCCTGGAGGTGGGCATGGTAGGTGAGGCGAACACTGGGTGGCACCGCTGATGAAAGAAAAAAGAGGGGATTCGAGGATGGACAAGAGCCCTGGGCATGCACACCCCAACCCATGTGGTCCCCCTCTCACCAATGTGCTCAGGAAGGTGCAGGAAGGTGGCATGTTCCAAGGGGTGCACAAAGATACGGCCTACAAGTGGGTGTAAGGTGGTCTGCTGGGCCTCAGTCCCTCTCAGTCCTGCAAGGAGACCTATAAATCCCATAAATCCCAAACATACAGACAGCTACGGTCACAGGCAGGGGAGGAGTCCCCTTCCCCATGGTGCTCCTAACACTGAGAGCTGAGGGCTCCCGTGCTGGCTCTGGGACTGTGGGAGGCATAGAGACAGATCCTGTTCTGCTGTAGTTTAGTAGGTGATAAAACCTAGGCTTTCATTGGCTTTGGATTCATGGGAAGGTTCCCTACATCAACCTTTTCACTCTAGATTTGGGGGTCACGGTAGGAGGGAATTAATGTTTGACAGAGAAAGGAATGTGAGGTGTCCTGTGGAATGTGAATGTTCAGGACACTTGGAAAAGAACCCCATGCTAAACATCTGGGAGGCTGGAGGAACCAGGAGCTTTCAGAGGGGTCTAGTTATTCTGAAACCCCAACCCCCAGGGACAAATATGGAACAGGGTCTGCTTTGGAGGCCAATAGGAGCCTAGCAAACGGGACTTACCCAAGCTGCCCCCGCCTTCTCTCTTAATGCCAAATTTAGCCTGGTCTGACAAAAGCAGTGCCCCAGCCAACTCATTAAAGGGCCCACGACCCTCAAGGACTGTGCAGTAATGCTTACCTGGGCCTTAGGACACCTCTACCCTCGGAGCTCCCAGTACCCATACCCCAAGAGCTTGGCTTCCAGCCCCTGCATCCTTGCCTGCCTTGTCACTAGCACCCCAAAGCCTTTCAAGTCCTGGTTCCCTCCCCCTATACCCTCCCATAAGGACCTCCTATTCTTCGACCTCATAACCCCTAAATCCCACCAGTTACCCTGAACCTCTCCCTGAAGAAGACCCCAACTTGCCCACAAGGAGAGGAATCCAAGTTGGTGCTGCTGCCATGGCTGCCCCAGCCTGGCCTGCCCAGTGAGTGACAGAGACAGCGGCCAGAAGGCGAGGAGGGAGGGAGGAAGGGAGTGGAGGAGGTGTGCAGAGCAGCTGGGACCAGCCTTGCCCAGCAATGCCTTCCTCTTCCATTCTCAGACTCAGGACTGAATCTGAGGTGAACACTGTCCTCATACACAGTTTTCCCCACTCCCACAACTGTTCCTTCCTGTTGGCCACAGTGGGGTTTATTTTGTTTTTGATTTTTGAGAGGGTCTCATATAGCCCAGGCTGGCCTCAAACTTGCTATGTAGGCAAAGATGATCTTGACCGCCTGATCCTCCTGCCTCCATCTCCTGAGTGCTGGGATTATAGGTATATGCCACAACGCTTGGTTTTATGAAGTGCTAGAGATAGAAAGAATCCAGGACTTTGTGCATGTTAGGCAAGCACTCTACCAGCTGGGCTACATTCACAGGCCTGCCTTTTCCTTCGTTTTTGTTTTTTGAAGCAGAGTCCCACTAGGTAGCCCGAGGTGCCCTCATTACAGGAGTATATCACAGTATGTTTTCTAACCACCGACCTGGCTACTTGGGCCCTCCTTAAAATCTTAATGGCTCCCATTTCCTTTGAGTTCCCAGCTCATCCCCATTGATGACTTTCTGGCCCTTTCTCCATCTTGCCATTTTGTTTAGAATCCCTAGGCTCTGGCCCCACTCTGCTCCTGCCTAAGTTACTATGGTTTTTAAAGTTTATTTTCATATGTGTGTTTTGCCTGCATGTATCTAAGTGTACCACTTATACACAATGCCCATAGAGGATAGAAGAGGGAGTGCGATCCCCTAGAACTGGAGTTACAGACAGATATGAGCCACCATGTGAGTGCTAGGAACTGAAGCTAAGTCCTCTGCAAGAGTAGCCAGTGCTCTTAACTGCTGAGCCATCTCCCCAGCCCTGTAATGTTTTCTTAATCTCGTGGCCTCCATCCAAGCTGTTCCCTCTGCCTGATGTTCCCTTCTGCTTTGTCCCATGGGCAGACTCCCACATACTTTCATAAGACTGCACAGATCCCCTCCTTTCTGAAGCCATTTCCTCTTCTGCCTCTTCCTAGGCTGGCTGGATACTGCTTATATCCTTGTGCCAACCCAGTCTTACATCATCATGACATGGTACGGGTACCTTGGTTTCTGATCTCACTCTCTTCTTATATCTGCACCTGGCACAGGGTCTAGCAGGTATAGGGGCTGGGTAACAACTTCCTTAACAGCAGGCAGAGGTGCCTGTCCCTCCCATCTGAGCCCCAGGCCAAGCATTCCCCCATGTGAAGGTCTGTTTGGATGGTAGCTGCTAGACGGAGACAGTTTAGGTGGAAGAGGTGCTCTTTCTGGCTCATGAAGTTGGAGCTAACTGCACAGGCTTGGAGTCCCAGCTTGACACTTCCTGGAGATGTAGTGTCAAGTCACTTGCCCTCTCTAGACCTCTGTTTTCACCACTACAAACTGCATGAGTAGTACCGGCCTGTTGGTGCCATTGTGAAGAATCAACAAAATACCAACGACAGCACGTGCTTAGACACCTACATCAAGGCAGGTGCTGAAGATGTACAGGTGAGTAAACTCTGTTTGACTGGGGCTTGTGTGATGATGGGAGAGACATTGGACCAGTCTGCCTCCATGCCAAAGGGCTCACATGCATTTATGAGTATTGACCCATTCTATCCCTACAGCCGTCCCATGAGACAGGCATTACGGTAGCCCCCGTTTTACAGTCGATACCACTGAGGCCTGGTGGTGTCTAACTTCTCCAAAAGGTATGCTGCTGCTGAACTGAATGGGAAGTGCACAGTCCAGTGCCCGGCTCCCTCACTGATAGCCAGATGATGGTGAACACCTCAACCCCTTCCTCCCTGTGCCTGTCAAATGGCCTGACCTTCCACTGAGAACAGGCATCAGGGTGCTCTTTCCCAAGAAAGAGACAATACCCCACCACTGCCAGCATTCCGCAGTCCTTGCTTTCTGTGAATGAACCCAGGTGACGTGCTAAAGGGGCTTCCCACCTTACCCCCAAATGTCCCAGCAAGGATACCTGGGACCTGCCCTAGATTAGGCCTGCAACTCAGGTGACTAGTGGGCAGGTTACTTAGTCCTTGGTCCTTCTCTCTCCCCACCTGACCACCACCCCACTTGTCCCTAGAGAATCCCAAAATTCCAGAGTCAGCATCCATTTGGGCTTCCAGGCAGGTGTTTATCCCCAGTTCACCTTGCCATCTCCCTGCTTGCTCAGAGATGGAGAGGGGAAGAGGCTCAGAGATGGAGGGGAGAGGAAGAACGGCTTGGAGGTAAATCAAGAATGGAAGGGCCTGGGAGTGTGCGGAGTGCAGAGCTGGCAGCTGCCCTGGCCCAGCTCCTGAGCCTCCCTTGTGATGTTATCTCCTCATGATGCCTCATGAGATATTTTTGGAGCCACTATCTCACACCCTCAGTTGTTTTAAGGTAGAATGTCTATGCCCCAGTGTCACCTCCCTCCAAAGACACAAGTCCCACCGAGGCCTATCCTTCAATGGAAAACTGACAATCGTTTCCCTTCCAAAATTTCCAAGAGCATCCCCATTCAGGAGAGACAAGGACTGTTCAGGAGTCCACTGGAGCCCTTGAAAACCTCCTCAGACCTAAGTCACCAAGGGACTGCCAGACCTCAGGACTGCTGCAGTAAACACAGCATCTTCAGTCTGTTGAGACTTAGGGACTGGGGTGGGGGTGGGGGTGTCACAGAGACCTCAAACTTCTTGTTTGGGAAACATCTTTTTTAGGAAACTGGAATTTATTTATTTATATGTGTGTGTACATGTGCATATGTGTGTGGTATATGTGCATGTATGTATGTGGGTATACATGCCTGTCCTAGTCCCTTGAGACAGGATCTGTCACTGAAACTAAAGCTAGGCTGGCAGCCAACAAGCCCCAGTGATCCTGTCTCCATCCCCCACAGCCCTGGGGTTACAGGTGTCTGTTACCATGCCTGGATTTTTACATTAGTTCTGGGGATTTGAACTCAGGTCCTCATGCTTGTACAAGTGCTCTTACCCACTGAGTCATCTCCCCAGCCCTTGTTTGAGAAACCTTTGAAAGAACACAGAATAATAAAATGAGCCCTTGTATAGACCCAGCTTCATTCAACAATTATCAACTCCTGGTCAGCCTCTTCCTCTATTCCCTTCCCAAGTTCCCTCTTCCATTTAATTTCATCTGACATTGTCTCAGCGTGCATCTTTAAAAGATAACTTTTTTATTTTATTATTTTTATTTTATGTATATGAGTGTATTGCCTGCACGTATGTAAATGCACCAGTGTTGTGCAATGCCTTGGAGGTCAGAAGAGAGCTTTGGATTCCCCTGGAACTGGAGTTAAAGACGGTTCGTAGCCGCCATGTGGGTGCTGGGAATTGAACCTGGGTCCTCTGCAAGAGCAGTCAGTGCTCTTAACAACTGAACCATCTCTCCAGCCCCTAAAAGATAACTCTTTTCTTTTCTTTTTTTTTTTTTCACAAGGTCTCCCTGTAGCCCCCAGATGACCTGGAACTTGCTGTGTAGGCGGGCCTGGATATTACAGAGATCTGCTCAAGTGCTGGAAATTAAAGGCATATGTCACTATGCCTGGCATTCTTTTTTTAACATACTCACTGTCCTAGTTTGTTCTTCATTGCTGTGACAAAATACTCTGACCAATACCAACTTGGGGAGGAAAGGGTTTATTAGGCTTACATCTCCTGGGTCACAGTTCATCAGGGAGCCCAAGGTAGGAACTCAGGGCAGGAACCTGGAAGCAGGAGCTAGAGCACAGGCCATGGAGGAACGCTGCTTACTGGCTTGCTCCTCTGGCCCCTGCTCAGCTTGCTCTCTTATCCAACACAGGCCCACCTGCCCAGGGGTGGCCCCACCCACAGTGGGCTGGGCCCTCCCACATCACTCATCAAGAAGATGCCCCTCAGACATGGGCACAGGACAGTCCAATAGAGGCAATCCCCCAACGGAGGCTCCCTCAACCCAGGTGTGTCAAGTTGACACTAAAGCTATCCAGCACACTCACAAAACATAATTATTAACACAATCAATACTCCCTCAATATCAAACTTCCAGTGTTCAAATTTCTAACTTCTTGTAAATTTCACATTTATCCTAAGGACACTGGGTCTTATTATGCTGCCCACACTGATCTCAAACTCTTAGGCTTAAGGGATCCTTCTGCTTCAGTCTCCCAAGCAGCCCACGCCTTCATCCTTGGCTAATTTCAGCCTTAATTTTATTTGTCTTTGGGTCTCATTATGTAATCCAGGCTGATCTAAAATTCATGACCCTCCTGCCTCAGCTTCTCAAGCCCTTGGGGTTACAAGTGAGTGCCACTACACACCACACATTTCACATTTTAAAAATAGATTTTTATTTTTTGCGTATGAGTGTATTGCCTGCATGTATGTAAGTGCACCTGTATTGTATCGTGCAATGCCTACGGAGATCAGAAGAGGGCGTCGGATCCCCTGGAACTGGAGTTAACACAGTTAGCCCCCCTGTGGTTTCTGGGAACCAAACCCAGGTCCTCTGCAGGAGCATCCGGTGCTCTTAACCACTAAGCCATCTCTCCAGCCCCAATTTTTTACAAATGTATTTCTTTGAGTCAGGATCCTAATAGGCAGATACATTACAACTGGTTGATAGACTTAAATATCACCAAGTCTATAGGCTTTTCATCCATCTCTTTCTCTTCTCCCCTCCCTCCCTCCCTCCCTCTCTCCCTGTATCTCCCCTCCTCCTTCTTTCCCTCACCCTCCATTCTTTCCATCCTCCCTTCCTTTCTCTAACTCTCTCTCCTTGCATGAAGGAGTCAGGTCAGTTCTGCAGTTTTCCACAATCTGGATTTGCTGATGGCATCTTCTTTGCCATGTTCCTCTGACCTCTGCACCATCTTATAAATAGTATTCTCTGTGCACCATTGTCTCCTGTAAATAATAGTTGGATCTAGAGACCTGGTCATATTTAGGTTCTTTCTTCTGCAAGCCCACTTTATAGGTGGT